ACCGGGCGCCAGCTTGGTGGCGTGCAGGTCGTTGCAGGGCGCGGCGCGCAGGTGGGCTAGCGAGTTGATTTTGGACAAGAGCATCCCAACTTCCAGGGTGTCGGCGTAGGGACTGAGTCTGAAAGAGCTGCAATAGGACCTGGGGCTGAGGTTGTGCGGGTGGCTGTGCCTACGGCTGGGGCTGAGGCTGCGGATGGCGTTGCGGCTGCGGCTGGCGCGGAAGGCCGAGGGCGAGTCGGAGGACGACTGGGGTCGCTGCCGGGGTTGGCGGCTGGTGGACACGCCGGCGGGGTCAGGCAGCGCCAAGGGCGGCGGGGTGGGCGTCTCGTGGGGCTCGTGGGGTTCGTACGGCAGCGCCGCGACACAGGGAGCTTGTAGCTGCTGCTGCTGCTGCCGGTACCGCCACCGCCGCCGCCGCTGCCGCCAAGTCTTCTCCTACAATTTTTAAAATTAAAGAAAAAGTGATTCATAAGGGTTGTAGATAATGTGCACTTATTTATTTATTTAATTTATATTAAGATTATGTGCTTTTAAAGTTTAAAATAATTTATACTTTTTAACTGTAAAGTCACTTACTATTATTCCATGTCTCTCAAATAGGTACCAAGTACTTGCTTTTGCAACAGATGCAGATAAAAGACAAGAGACTGAGCAGCAAAAACTTGGTTCTGGAAAAAGACTGGTTGTAAGGCCTTTTTTTAATATATGAAATTTTAACAATGTTATATCTAATCACAGATATTTGTTCAGAATAAGAATTCCTGGGAAGAAAATTAAAAAATCCATTTCAGCCACTTCTCTTTTCTATGTTAAGATTATATCAATGATCAAAGAATTTAGCTGGGTATTTTTGAGCAATGAAAACACATGTCTAGTCATGGTCATAATATACTAGACTATAGACTTATATCACTAGGATTATAGATGTCCAAATGGAATCACTTTTAACTGACGTGATTATAAAATAATAGAATAAAAACAGAAGAATGAAAAAAAATTCCTTTAATAGGCAAAAGGGTTGCTACTAGAAGGCATGTGATGAAATATATAAGTAAAAGATGAAAATTCACAGCCTACAAAAATAAAATTAGCTCAATGGTGTAAGTAAGATAACTTGAAAAGTAGTTTGATGAAAAATTGTAAATGATAAATTCTCAATTTATTGGAAATTAGGGAATAGATGCTGATTGTGAACTCTTCCTTATCCTGATACCCTCCGTGGACAGGAAGGCAAAAGGTTAGAAGGAAGTGAAGATTATGATGGAAAGAGTAAAGTGAATTTGAGAAGGATAGAAGCAGTAGGCATGAAGAAATAATGTGGAATTTAGAATGATAAAGAAGTAATATCAGAGAAGACTAATTTTCTATATTAGGATACAGAAGTTAAGGGAGATGGTAGAAAGGAAGGCTAACTTGGAAATAGTAAAGAATAAGATGGAAACATTTTCTCATTGGTAGTAAAAGTTCAGAGAGCACAAATATAATGTCAAACAACTTGGCACAGAATTTGTAGGCAGTATACTAATAATAGTTTAAGCATAGACTTTGGAGTTAGATAGATCTTGAAAGCTATAGCTACTACTTATTTTGAGCAAGTTTATTGACTTTTACATTTTTGTTAATCATTTTATCTTTGTTGGCTTATTAGCCAGAGGGCTTTGTTTCGTTATTTTAGTGGTTGCTTTAGAGTTCATAATATGTATCTTTGACTGGTTTACTTTCAGGTGATATTATGTTGCTTCATATATAGTATATGAACCATACTTCTGTTTCTCACCTTCCAGCCTTTGTGCTATTGTCATGTATTTTAATTTTACATATACTATAAAACTTCACACTACATTGTTATTAATTTTATTTAGTCAATATCTTTTAATAAGATCAAATTATAAGAAAAATACCTATATTTAGCCATGATGTTACTATTTCTGGTGTTCTTGATTAATATATATAGCCCTATAGTTCCATTTGGTGTCATTTTCCTTTCTCCTGAAGGACTTCCTTTCCCCTTTCTTTCAGTGTGTGTCCACTAGTGATGAACTATTGCAGTTTTTGTGTTTCTGAAAAAGTATTTTTGCCTTTGTGTTTGAAAATGTATTTTTTGGTTACAAAATTTTAGTTTAACTAATTTTTCCTTCTAATACTTTGAGATATTGCTCCATTGCCTATTTTTTTAACTGACATAAAGTTGATTTACAATATTATATTAGTTTTAGGTGTACAACATAGTGATTCAATATTTTTTATAGATTATACTCCTTTTAATTACAAAACAATGGTTGTATTTCTCTGTGCTGTACAAAATATCCTTGTTGCTTATCTATTTTATACATAGTATTTTGTAACTCTTAATTCCATACCCCTATCTTGCCGCTCCCTTTCTCCCTCTCCCTACTGGTAACCACTAGTTTGTTTTGTATATCCGTGAGTCTGTTTCTGTTTTGTGTCTATATATGTTTTAGTTTTTAGAAAAATTCCACATATAAGTGATAACATAGAGTATTTGTCTTTTTCTGTCTGACTTCTTTTACTAAGTATGAACCACTTAGGGACCATTAGATCCATCCGTTCTGTTGTAAATGGCAGAATTTTATTCTTTTTTATGGCTGACTAATATTGCTTTTCATACACACACACACATGCGCCTATACACACCTCATCTTCTTTATCCATTCATTTGTTGATGGACACTTAGGTTGCTCAGTATCTTGGCTATTATAAATAATGCTGTTGTGAACAAGTTAGTGTTTTTGTTTTCTTCAGATATATACCCAGGTATATACCTCTATGAAATTAGTTGGAACAGTTAGCTAATGAGATCTTGAAGGGGTGTCCTTATGTGGAAGCATCCCTGTAGAGTCTACATGTGCTCAGTGATTTTTGGTGGGAAAGCTGGGTGTGACATGAACATAAGTCACATCTTTCCTTACAGTGTGCTTGCAGATATCACCTTGGTAGGATGTGGGGCTGGAGAAGAAGGAGCTACCAGGTGTGAGCCAGGGCTTCCTCTCTGTTCAGTGATCATCACTGCCCTATGCGGGGCAGGGTCAGTCCCAAGTTGCTGAAGTAGAAGCCCTTAGGGTGGGGTCTGAACTGGTTCTATTCCCTTTAAGTGTGAGCTCTCTCCACTCCTGGAATTGGCACCCTTGTCCCAGAGGCGGTAGTGCTGGATCAAGAGGGCCTGTACAACTGTTGGTGTGCAAAGGGGTGTGTGGCTGCAGGCAGAGGTTGGGCTCCTTCTGATGCTTTGCCTGTGTGTGCATCAATAATGGCTTCCCCCTCCCTGCTTAGACATTGCTTTGAGTCTTAGCTGCCTCAGTATCTCATGGCTGGGTTCTTTCCCTAGTTGTAGTAGCCCTCACTCCAGCATGGAGCTGCAGTGTGAGGTAAGTGGGGCTGGAACATTTGCTCTGCTCAGGCTAGGGTGCTTGCAGTGGTGGTTGCAGGAAACCACTCAGCTACCCACACAGTTCCAATTTGTACTTTCCTCCATGTTTCAGGAGTAAGCAAGTATGTCTCTCCTACCCAGCAGAGTCCAGGCTTCCTCCAGCCTTTCTATTAGTCTCACCAGCCCTCCAGCTGGCCAAGAGGGCTTGTCTTCTCTATGCAGGACCCCAGGGCTGGGGTGCCCAATATGTGGCTTTAACTGCTCACTCCCTATGGTGTATTTTTGCCTGTGTAATCTCCCTTTTCCTCTGAGTCCCCTCTCTTGGGCACAAGTCTTGACCTGGTCGCTTCTCTTCCCTTTCTACCTGATTATGTGCAGATGTTTCTTTTAGCTTTGGTTACACAAGATTCTTTCTGCCAGTTTCCAGTTAATTTTCAGTGAGAATTGTTCCACGTGACATACATTTTTGATGTATTCATTGGGGGAGGTGAGTTCAACATCCTTCTACTCTGCCATCTTGATTTCTTCCTCTCAGAGCAGAGATCTCCTCCATCTTCTTGTTTGTATTGTTCTCATGAGAAATCTGCTTTTATCTTATCTTTGTTCCTTTGTACATAATGTCTTGTTTGTCTGGCTGCTTTTCAGATTTTCTTATATCACTTGTTTTGAGCAATTAGTTTATGAGGTACTTTGTGTAGTTTTCTTTCATTCTTTTGTGTGTGTGTGTGTGTGTGTGTGTGCTTAGGATTTGTTGAACTTCATGTATGTGTGAATTTATAGTTTTCATGAAATTTAGGAAATATTAAGATACAAGTCCTTGAAATATTTTTTCTTTTCTCCATCTTATCTCCTCTTCTCTCAGTTACATGTACATTTAGGCTAGTTGAAGTTGTCCTACAGTTTACGTATTTTCTTTTTATTTTAGAAATATCTTTTTTCTCTATTTGATTTTGGATAATTTCTACTGCTATGTTTTCAAGGTTACTAATATTTTTCTGCAATGTCTAATATGGTATTAATTCCAATCTGGTATAGTTTCTGTATCTACAAGTTCAATTTGTGTGTTTTAAAATATCTTCCAAGTATCTACTTAACTTTTTAAAGATATAGAATACAGTTATAATAATTGTTTCAATATCCTTGTTTTCTAATTCTAACATCTGTATCAATTTTCAATTTTTTTACTTTTTTTTTTTGGTGGGGAAGTAATTAGGTTTTTATTTATATGTTTGTTTTAATGGAGGTACTGGGGATTGAAGTCAAGACTTCATGAATGCTAAGCACATACACTTTACCACTGAGCTACGCCTTTTCCTCTAACATCTGTATCAATTTTGAATCAATTTCAGTTTATTTATCTTCACATCGTGGATGACATTTTCCTGTTTCTTTACATGCTTGGCAATTTTTTGTAAGATGCTAGGATATAGTCAATTTTACTTTGTTGGGTGCTAGATATTTTTGTATTTCTGTAACTCTTCTTGAGCTAAGAACTGGGATACTGTAAAGTTACTTGGAAACAATTTGATCCTTTTGGATCTTGCCTTTAAGTCTTGTTAGGTGGGACTAGAGCAGTGCTCATTCTGGGGCTACTTATTTTCCACTCCTGAGGTAAGACCTTTCTGAGTGCTTTACCCAGCTCCTTTTGAATTATGAGGTGTTCCAGTCTGGCTGGTGGGCACAGGCAGCATTCCAGGCTCTATGTGAATACTGGGCACTGTTAACTGCTAATTTTTTGGGGTGGTTCTTTCCTTAGCTTTGAGCAGTTTTCAACAGGAACGTGCTAATAAGTACTCAGCTGAATATTTGAGATGATTCTTTATAGATCTCCGAGTTCTGTCCCTGTACTGCCCTCTCTCTTTGGCATGCTATCTTGTGAACTCTAGCTGCCTTGATTTTTCTGAACTCTCAGCTTCCATCTCCTCAACTCAGAGCATCTGCTGGGCTTTGCCTGGATTCCTTCTTCCTGCGCCATGGCCTAAAAACTGTCTCATGAATGGAGCAATTGTACCACTCACCTCATTTGTTTTGTATTTTTAAGGGATTTCTGTCCTTTGTTTCCTGCTATCCAGTGCTTTTTAAACTGTTGCTTCATACATTTTGTTCATGTTGTGGTTGTTTCAGGTGGGATGGTCGATTTTTTTCCTATTACTTCGTCTTGGCTGGAAGTGGAAGAATTTTTAAATAATTGTTCTTAGTAAACTTTTGTGCTTTTTGAGACTCATTAATTTAAAATATGGTGAATTTCCCTAGGGTAGGTTACAGAGAGTCGCTCTCAGTACCTAGTGAACTGAAAGTATTTAGTGGCTAGATCTCAGCCGGTGGCCTCAGAAACTTGATTTGCCCGTTTACTCTGAATGAATCATTATCTCTCAGAGTCAGGGACATATCAGCCTGAGTTTCAGGTACTGAAAAATAATGCTGGAATGCCAGGCTATTAAATATAATGAGAAATGTAACCACTTTAGGACTGATGTTCCTATCTTTTTTTCAGTGGAAACTTTTCATATAGGGAAGCTACACTTGAACTAAGAGATAATTGAATGATTTCTTGGTGTTGAGTACTAATTCAGATTAAGATACTCTAATGCATCTACTTATATTTACTATGCTGTCTCCCTACTCCAGATAGTGTTTATATACACATTGATGATATCTGCCCCTGACTACCCTCATTTGGATTTCATACCCTCTTCAGATATTTTAATAATCTAAAGTAGATAGATTAATACCCAAGTCATTCTGGATGGCTTGAAAATTATATGTATCTTTAATTTGACTTTTCATATCTCTTCTTTGATCTATTATTTGTTGAGTCTTGCTTCAAAGCCTAACTTTGAGGGCTATCTTACTTCCTCTTTTTCTGCATACTTTTGTGTATCCATCTCACTGTTGTTGCCATATACAATATATGCCTGTCAGCCAATGCTTTTCAAAATAGTATGTATTTGCTTTTTGTGTTTTCCTGATATTAACTGATTGGGGCTGAATTCTGAGAAACTCTTTTTCACATGTCCATTTTACATTTATTTCTTCATTATTTTAAGAAACATTTCTTAAACATTGATCATGTTCCAGAGCAATGGAGATACCCTGAGAAGCTCTTATGTGTAGAGGATCCTGTCTATAGTACTACAAATGTTTGATGACTTCCCTGTACATGCATATTGATAGTTTCAAAAAGTATCTTTATATCAAAACATTATATATACAGCAATATGGCTGTAGATTTTATTGGTTATTAAATTTAACTTGCAAAGTAAACACAACAGCTTTCTTACAGAAAATTTTCAGTAGTGCAAATAACTTCTTTATGTATATTTTTTTGAACAAGCCATGGAACCTCCTCTTCCAAGACAGGACTTTTGTACAGGCAGCTCACTTTGCATGGGATGTTCTCCCACCTTCTCCATTACCTACCTTTTTTCCCCCTCTAGCTTTATTGAGGTATAATTGACAAATAAAAATTGTATAAATTTACCACGCACAATCTGATGTTTTGACATATGTATACATTGTGAAATGATTATCACAGCTAATATCTATCACCTCACATTTTTTTGTGCTAGAATCACTGAAGATTTCTCAACAAATTTCAAGTGTATGATGTAGTATTATAACTATATGTACATCAGATCTCCAGAACTTATTCATCCTGCAAAACTGAAACTTTGTATCCTTTGACCAGCATCTCCTTATTTCTCTCATACCACAGACCCTGGCAACTACAATTCTACTCTCTGCTTTTATGATTTTGACTTTTTTAGATTCCACAGATAAGTGCAATCATGCGGTATTCATCTTTCTGTGCCTGACTTACTTCACTTAGCATGATGTCCTCCAGGTTCATCCATGTTGTTACAAATGGCAGGATTTTCTTCTTTTTAAAGACCAAACAGCAATATTACCCACACACATATATCTATATAGTGATACATATCTTACATTTTCTTTATCCATTCATCCATCAATGGATACTTAAGCTGATTCCATATTTTGGCTATTGTGAGTAATACTTCAGTGAACACAGGAAAGCAGTTATCTTCTCAATATTCTGTTTTCATTTCTTTTGGATATATACCCAGAAGTGGAATTGCTGGATCATATGGTAGTTCTATTTAAAATTTTTGAGAAACCTCCATATTGTTTCCCATACTAGCTGTACCATTTTGCATTCCTGCTAACAGTATACAGGGTTCCTTTTTCTCCACAGTCTCACAAACACTTGTTATCGCTTGTCTTTTTGATACTAGCCATTCTAACAGGTATGAGGTAATATCTCATTGTGATTGTGATTTGTATTTCCCTGATGATTAGTGATGTTGACCATTTTTTAATATACCTGTTGGCTGTTTGCATGTCTTATTTTCAGACAATGTCTAATTTGGTATTTTGCCTGTATTTTTAATACTGTTTTTTGAGGGGAGCATAATTAGGTTTATTGATTGATTGATTGATTGATTGATTTTTACAGAGGTACTGGGGATTGAACCCAGGACCTTATGCATACTAAGCATGCACTCTACCACTGAGCTATACCCTCCCTTTGCCCATTTTTAAAATCAGTTATTTGTTTTCTTGCTATTGAGTTGTCTGAGTTCCTTATGTATTTTTGAATATTATCCCCTTATTGGATATATAGTTTACAAATATATTCTCCTATTCCATAGATTGTCTCTTCACAGTGTTGATTATTTCCTTTGCTATGCAGAAGCTTTTTAGCTTGATGCAATCCTTTTTTGTGCATTTTTATTTTGTCTGTGCTTTTGGGGTCATATCCAAAATATCATTGCCCAGACCAATGTCAGGAAGCTTTTTCCTATGTTTTCTTCTAACAGTTTTACAGTTTCAGTTCTTATGTTTAGGTCTTTAATCCATTTTGAGTTGATTTTTGTGTGACGTAGTCTTTCATTTTCATTCCTTTGTATGTGGATATCAAGTTTTCCCGATATCATTTACTGTCCTGTTCTCATTGTGTGTTCTTGATACCTTTGTTGAAGTTCAGTTGACTCTAAATGCAGTTTTATTTCTCAGCTCTGTATTCTACTCCATTAGTCCAGATATATGTTTCTTTTTTTTTAAATTCTAGTACCATGCTGTTTTGATTAGTATTGTTTTGTAGTATGTTGAAATCAGGTAGTATGATGCCTACAGTTTTGTTCTTTTTGCTCAAGATTGCTTTGTCTATTGGAAATCTTTTGTGGGTTCATATGAATATCATGATTGCTTTATTTAATTTTTGTGAATAGAACATTGGAATTTTGATAGGGATTTGAATCTGTGGATCACTTTGGGTAGTATGGATATTTTAGTAATATTAATTCTTCTAATCCATAAACATGGCATATCTTTACACTTATTTGTGCTCTTCAATTTCTTTCATCAGTGTTTTATAGTTTTGAATGTACAGATCTTCATCTCTTTGATTAAACTAATATGAGTGTTTTCGAACTGCTGAATAGCTAATATCATCTGGCAAGAGGTGGAACAAAACCTACTACAGTCTATAAACTATTGGAAATATGGCCATAGGGAAAAAAGGAAATGAAGATTAGCCATTGTTTATGTCTGCTTTGTTGTAAAGTATTTCTTAATTGTACTAATGTGAAAGTGACTGAAATGTTCTGTTTTTAGTTACTAAGTTGATAATAAATTTTCCTTTTAGGTGGATTGGACTCTAAATATTGGAGAGCAAGCCCTTGATATATGTATTGTCTCTTTCAATCAGTCAGCATCTTCTGTTTTTGTTCTTGGTGAGAGAAATTTTTTTTTGCCTTAAGGATAATGGACAAATTCGATTCATGAAGAAACTTGATTGTAGCCCAAGTTGTTTTCTCCCATATTGCTCAGGTGTGTAGAAAGATTTTCTTTTATCTTTTTCATATGTCAGGGCTATACATCAGAAAAAGCCAAACTCACTCACATATATTTTAAACATCTAGGAAAATAGTTTTATACTGAACATGTAATGGAAATTTTAACTTTTAAAGTTTGAATAGAAGTTTGATATAAAGCACATGTTTGGTTTTGTCAGTCATTTTACTTTGTATAAAATGACTTGTAGAATTGGCCTTAGGTATACATTAATGCTTGCCAAAATGTGGCTGTTCAAGATGCTTCCAAGAGAACATAAGATTCTTTTTAAAGAAGAATGAAGCATAGTAATGCCTAATAGAATGACTTATCTGTAGTGAGTGCCTATTAAATCATTAGCTTAGGTGGGCTAGTTATTAATGAAATTCATGCTGTCTAGATGAAATGCAAAAATGCTGTCCACTGTCTAGTTATAGTTTCTATAGTTACATATAGTTTTTATATATTTGTAAAATGATTTTTTCTCTTTGATATTGGTAGCTTGAGTTTGAAAAATAATGTTTTATTACTTAAAATCTTTATGCATTAAATCAAGACATTAGAATTAGTTTGGATCATAAATCCTCTAAAAGGAATGTAATATACTGTTGGAAATGACTGTTTTCTTATTATTCTCTTTTTCTGTCTTCAACCTGTAGTTTCCGAAGGAACAGTAAATACTTTGATTGGAAACCACAATAACATGTTGCATATTTATCAGGATGTGACACTGAAGTGGGCCACTCAACTTCCTCACGTACCTGTAGCAGTAAGAGTGGGCTGTTTACAGTAAGTGGTTTAATTTCACACAGTTTTTTTTTTTTAAAGAGGACCTTAGTCAAGGAATTCTCTAGAAGTATTATGAAACAATTGAAAATGATTCTACTAAGAAATGACAAGTGATATTGTAGTGTGAATGTCTACAATGGAAATAATTTAAAATATAACTTTTATTGGAAAATAAGGATATAAAAAAGCCTTAATTATCATCTTTAATCATTTTTATTTAGTATCTCTAGCAAGATATCCTGTGTAAATTAAAGATTTTAAGAAAATAGTTTACCTGATAGATTATTTTCTTTAAAATAGAAAAGGATTTCTTCAAGCATTTGATGGGTCCCACTTAGAGATCACTTATAGTTAGGTTGTGAAAATATTGCACTTCAAAACTTATTTCAGAACTCGTTATATCATTTGGTGCAGAATTGCTAATAATTATGTGTTTAAGACAGTTTAGATTTAAAATAGGGCCACCTTACATTTAAAATAAAAGACAAAGTTCTTTTTTTTTAACATTAACTTTACAATATTTATCAAAAATAAGAGAAATGAGACAGCTAAATGTGTTGTTTTTCTAGTTTGTCAGTATATGAGGCAAGGTCCTGAAAAACTCTTTTAGCATTTCAGAGTATGTTTAAGAATTCAAAATCTCAATTAATGTATAGAAACACAACTTTCCATTAAAGCTTCATGGATTCCTAGACGTAGTCAATTCTGCTTATTTAGATCATTTTATTGAACATTTAAAAACCATACATAGAATTCCTCAGTGACACCTATTATCTGATCGGTATGATTAATCCTCCCAATTTAAGAAGTCAAATGTGTAATATTATTGTTGAAGCTCAATGAAGAGTATTTATATTTGCATTAATGGTTAATCTGAAGTCTGAATATTAGAAAAATAAAAACACTGTTTTTAAAACATTGAATATTTTAAAAAGAAGTTACTTTTCATGTTTTATGAGAAAACAGGATTGCTATTCACTGAACACAAATTATAGTTATTTTGTATCTGAAGAAAAACTTAAAATTTTGAGATTAGTTTTTGTAATGTCCACCAGATGGTCTTTTAAGTTCAAACAAATGCTCAGACTCACCAGACATTTTACATCAGATTTACTTAGAAGGATTTAGAACAGGAAAAATATCTTGCCAGCAGGGCAACATCAAGTATTTCTCTTCTAGGAGATTAATTCTCATTAGCAGTATATCTATTCATCTAAGAGCTGTTTTCTTTGGCCCCCCAAAGGACAGCTCAGGTGCAATAAGACAGATCTACACTGATAGATATGCAGCCCATCTTGCCTTATAGTCTACATGCCCCTCAGGAGCCAATATCTTTAAATACTAAAAAGTCATTGTGGTTTTCTTGTGTATGTGGGGCATGGGAGAGTGATGGATAGAAAGGGTTTATAGAGATCATTTAGTTGAAATACTTACTTTACACATACATTATCTACAAGGGATGTGACTATTTCAAGAGTCACCATACTCAGAGAGAAGCTCAAAAGTACAGCTTCTTAGCAGATATTTATAGTTAATTTATAGTTTCTGGTCCAGATGCAACTTATAAGTCAAGCGTCCAATAGTTACTGAAACTACTTTGAGTAAAAAACCAAATTTCTATATAGTGTGCAGCAGGATGCTAATATTCAAAAATAATCTGTCACATCTAAATTTAGGTACCTGTGAGTAAAACTTCCTATTTCTCATAGCTTTTTAAAGATCATAATTGTAAGTAATTAAGTATAAATAAGGCCATTAATGATTTCCACAGTTAGTTAATATATAGCAAAAACTGGAAGGTTTTTCTTATTTTCATACACTTTAACATAAAAGTATAGGGTTAGACTGAAGGAACTTTATTGTAATTTTTAGAAGAATTAAAATTTATCACTGACTGTAAACTATAGTTATAAACTATAAGCTTTAGTTTATTTGTGTTTAGAAGTTATTATTTGAAATTAGAGCACTGAAATAATTTCACTCCTGCTTTTTATTACTTTTAGGGTTAAGCTTTTTGTAGAAGCTTCCTTGGCTGAATGTGTTTATTTGTAAAGGAAATTGCTGCTATTTTAATGTTTCTTTTCAATGAATAAGAAATAATTGGATTTGGATCAAGTTGATGCAATTATACTTAGTAACAGCATTTTGTTCAGAAACTACGATGCTTGATTTCCTCCCACTCCCTCCTACTTGGCAGTCCTAGTCCTCTCTACCTTGTTTATTATAAACCAGTTTTAAATCTGTCTGTGTTCCCTTCTTTCCTTTCAGGATAAATGACATTCTTGATTAGAGTTCTTTTAGTTTAATTATTTTAGTTTTTGTATGTTAGACTATAGGAATGTGAAATATACAGTTTACAGAATCAGAAAAGTCTGAATGTGATAATATTCTTTAAATTCTTAGCTATTACTGTTTTCCTCTCATTGCACGAAGTAGCTATGGAAGCCTGGCCGAGTATCTTACCTCTGCTGTGGTCAGTTCCCAAATGGCAAATAAAGACCATCGTTTATCGGTAACATTATTCTCTCTAGAGATATGAAATATACCTAAAAGTGGAAGTCTATTTGAATGAATGTTCAAAGTGATGGGAGTCTTTCTAGAAAAACTTTAGCCGGCAGCCACAGCCATTGTGCTTTAAAATGTTGTTACAGCTCATTTTCTAGTGTAAACAATTTGGTCTAGTACTTCAGTGTTTTTCTTCCTGGTTATGTTCACTATAGTAACTTTTTATAACTTTCAGTATTTAACATTTTATTCTTTAGCCTTCATTAATATAGTATTCCTGACCAGAATGTTTTTCCATTTTCTTCTCTGGATTTTCAAATTTCTTCTACTTTGAGTCCTAACAAGTCACATAAATAAGACTTCCCTCTCTGGTCTCCTTCTTCTTTGAATTTCTATATTATTTATATTATGTTGATGACTGCTGTTTGATTTTTCTAACTCCCCAACTTGATCATACACTATTATAATGTAGGGACCTGTTCTACTTTTGCATTATCACACTATCTAATCAGTCAGAAATGTGAACACATGATATATGCTCAGTAGATATGTAAGAGTCATTGTGGTTTGTGTTTGTCAGGTTTCAGGGTGGCTAGAAAGAACTTATAAGAGTTTTAAGCTGAAAAACCTTTTTAAATATAAAAAAAATCACAGTTGGAAGGATATGGTTTCTTTGAAAACAAATTTATTAGAAAAGTTCTTAAAAATGACTCCTTCCTTTTTAGTTTAATGTTTGCTGTTAATTTGACATTTTTTTCCTTTGTGCTTTGTAGAAGGAGAATGTAGGCCTATAAATACATTTTTTGCTAAGTTATATTTTTAAGGATTTCCTTTGTGGCTTAATATTCCACATAAAATTAGTAAATATTCCTGGAAGTAGGGTAGGGCATAAATTATGATTTTTAGAGCTTGTGCATTCTTATTGTCATTTTCCTTTATTAATCTGTTAATAGCTCAGGAGTGAAATGTTTGTCTTTCACTACCATATTTTTCTGTCAATTTTTTGAATATCTAAGTATTTTTGATTTATATATTTTAGTTCTATGTTATTCAGCTTATGTTAATGATATTTAATTTCTTGATTAGTTAAAAAAATTTACCAATATAAAAATGACCTTTTTTGTGTTTTCATTTAATGTTTATTTGCTTCTTTGTTTTGTTTTGTTTGCTTTGAGTTCACATTGTTATTAATTGTTAGTATGCTATTGTTTGTGTTTTTTAAACCTGTAACTTTATTTTGGGTGTATTGCTTATAAACAGAATTTGATTGAATTTTTCAACCCATCATGAAGACCATTGATTTTTAATCCATAAAACTGTTATAATTGATATATTTGGTCACTTTTTATCTTCTATGATAGTCTCTATTTTTTATACTTTTTTTTTTTTTGGTTTCCATTCTATGGTATGTGACTTGTGGTATCTTAGCACCCTTGGATTCTCCCATGTACTGGTTGTTACACATGCATACGTATTTCTTTATTTCTATTAGCTATAAATTATTATTGTTAAACTAGTCTAATGCTTTTTTCAAGAATGTTTTACAATTTGCATTTACTTTCTATTTAGACTTACAGTGATTTTTATGTATTTTTCTCTGTATCTAAGAAGATTGTGAAATTTTTTATACCATGAATTGCAATTTTTTAACTTACTAATTTTGCTTCATCTCTCAATAGGCTGATTTAATGTTCCCTAGAATGCTATAGGGTGTAATATTATGTGGTAAAAAATGTATCATCACATTTTCCCTTCAAAGTTTATTGATGTTGTTCCTTTATTTTTTTGAAAATAACTTTGGTGGAAAAAATATCTTTGTGATTTTTGTAAAAAGTATAGAACTTCATTATTTAAAACTTAAGCATTATTTAAAGATGCAAGAAAGAAAACAAAAAATAAGACTAACAACTGTTCCACCAAAGTTACCTGATCTTACCATCCAGAATTAACATTTGTTAACACCTGCTAAACATCAAGCCTGATATTTTTGTCTACAAATATGCCAATTTAGGCATATAATAAAATTTACAAAGCAGAATCATGTTTTTTAAGTATAAATGTGTTTTATATTCTAACAGAAAAAGAAATAGATGAAACAGAAGGAATAAATAAATTTTACATAAATATTTATTCTCAATATATTTCAGTTTCTAAAAGATCCCTCTAAGCAAGGATAGAAAAAAAGTAAAAGGTTGATATTTTTCAGTGTTTTAAAGTGGCATTTCAACCTTTGACAGTGTCCATTGACCTCTTATAAAAGGTAAGGAAAGCAGCATACTTAAGCTTCCTCCTTCCTCTCTTCTTACTGATTTCTGATGTTGTTGGTATCTTATTATTTATTTTGTCAAATGTCAAAACATTTACGTAAATTTTACTAATCACTATTTTTGCAGTCCTTTCATCCTATCCAGTTTTTCTAAATACACTCATAGCACACCACCAATTCTTTTACTGTTCCTAAATTATCTTGATTTACTTCTTGGTTAGTTGAATTT